CACAGATTTAGGGAATCTTTAGATTTATTTTTTTTTAGTTATGCCTGAGTAGGTATGGCTTGAAATCAACACTCCGATAGGAGTTAAAACTACCACAAATCATGGTTGCAGTCCATTGGAAAGATTCAGCTTTCCTAAGCTACAAATGTCAGTTTGCAACAGTTTACACAGAAATGGGATAAAGCTGCTTCCCCTCTTCAGATGTGTCCTCCTGCCTTCAGAAAGCCTGGCATCTCTCGCTTCCAGCAGTATCACCCTTCTGTATCTTGTGATAGACTTCACAGAATCACAGCATGGCAGGGGGTGGAAGGGCCCTCTGAAGATCATCCAGTCCAAACAGAGCAGGATCACCCAGAGAAGATCACACAGGAACACATCCACACAGGGTTTGAAAGTCTGCAGAGAAGGAGACTCCACAACCACTCTGGGCAGCCTGGTCAGTGCTCTGTCACCCTCAGAGTAAAGACCTTTTTCCTCATCTTGAGCTTGAGTTTCCTGTGTTCCAGTTTGTACCCATTGCCCTGTCCTGTTGCTGGGCACTGCTGAAAAAAGTCTGGCCCTATCCTCTTGACCCCCACCCTTTAGATATTTATAAGCACTGATGAAATCTCCTCTCAGACTCCTCTTCTCCAGGCTAAACAGACCCAGCTCTCTCAGCCTTTCCTCATATGGGAGATGCTCCAGTCTCATCGTCATCTCCATAGCCCTTTGTTGGACTCTCCAGGAGTTCCTTGTCCTTCTTGAACCAGGGAGCCCAGCACTGGACACAGTACTCCAGATGTGGCCTTTAGGGCAGAGAAGAGGAGGAGAACCTCGACCTGCTGACCACACTCTTCTTAATGCACTCCAGGAGACCATTGGCCTTGGCCCCAAGGGCACATTGCTCGGTCATGGTCAACTTGTCGCCCACCAGGACCTCCAGGTCCTTCTCCACAGAGCTGCTCTCCAGCAGGTTACCTCATAACCATACTGGTGTGTAGGTTTATTCCTCCCCAGGTGCAAGACCCTACACTTGCCTTTGCTGAACTTCATCAGGTTCCTCTCTGCCCAACTCTCCAGCCTGTCCAGGTCTTGCTGAATGGCTGCATGACTTTCTGGTGTGTCAGACAGTCCTCCCAGCTTTGTATTGTTAGGAAACTTGGTGTGATACACTCTGCCCCTTCATCCAGGCCACTGCTGAATATACTGAACAAGACTGGACCAGTACTGATCCTAGGGGACACTGCTAGCCACAGCCCTCCAAGTGGGCTCTGTGTTGCTGATCACAACCTCTGAGCTCTGCCATTCAGCTAGTTCTCAACCCACCTCACTGACCACTCATCAAACCCACACATCCTATGCTTACCTATGAGGATGTTATGGCAGACAGTATCAAAAGCCTTGCTGCAATTGAGGTAGACAACATCCACTGCTCTCCCCTCATCTACCCAGCTTCAACTTTTAAACACAGCCTACTGAATCATTTCCATCCCCCTGCTCCTGCCAGGTTAGCACCATCACAGCTGGTAAGCACAGCAATCCACAAGAGCATCAGCTTCTTGGCAGCTTCGGTGGTGGAAAAGACAGCAATTCAACAATACAAGCTATACCTACAAAAATTAAATTGCACATAAACCCATCATCTGGCACATGCGAGTGTTTGGATATCTGATGAAATCATCTCTATATCCACTGTGAGAGATCAGCATACAGCAAATCACAAAATGCAGTTCTGACCTCGAGCAGCATTTGCTGACTGCAGGATTTCACAAAACCGTACTTGTACTGATCTACTGAACCCTCTGGAGAAGGCAAGTGCTCTCAAGTATCTTTCAAAATCAACCAGTTATTACAAATTTTTACTTGGGAGGATTTTTGCTCATAACAAGCAGCTGGATAAGAGGAATTCAAACTGATTTTGGGACCACACTTTTGGAGATGGAGGGATGGATCCACTCGACATATCTACTCTCTAAGCCTAATTACTCTTTCTACCTTACAGGTTAAAGAAATAAAAGCAACCTTATCTATAGCTAATTTGTGCAAGTTTCAGTGAAGCTTTGTTCAGAGGATTACCCTCGCCACATCCCTAGTGTGCAGGCTGCATCTTCCGGTGATGCACGTGGGCCAAACCACACAGCTCGCTATCTTCTTTTGTAGCAACCAGATGGAAAGAAGTACCTGAGAAAAATCTTTGACAAACCAGTCTGTTGAACATAATCTATCCGGAAAAAAAACCTCCTGTAACTCTTGGTTTCACTCAACCAAGTAGAACAGAGTATAACCACGGCTGCCAAAGCCTTTGGCAAGTCTCACTTCTCCAGTCAGTGATTTGCAAGCTCATTTTTCAGAATTTTTTTTTCAGCTTTTTTCAAGCATTCACAGTACAGCTCATGTAGACAAATACATTTATCATCTGGGTGTGGGAGTGCTGGAGAGGATCTTTTATTTAGTGTAGAGATTACTTTAAACTGGCTTCTCCTCCAGTCTAATCTCACCTGAAAATGCAGCAAACCCATTTCCATGGTTCCTGTCTGGGGACTACCAGACCTTCCAGAGTTCCAAAATGCAGGCGTAAAGCTCCTCTGGCTGACTCCAAAACTAAACAGTGCTACCTTTGCCCTTTTATAACTTCTGATAATTTGTTACACATATAAACAACAAGAATTGGTGCTGGAAATCTGAATCAAACATCCTCCACCATATAAATAAGTATTTAGGCTGCAACCTAAAAGTCTGTCCTTTTAGCTTTAATTATGTCTGAAGACTTCCCATTCAGGAGGCAAGACTAGAGCAAAGATTTTTCCTTGCTCATTCTCCCCAAGTTTTATGTATTTAGAGATCAGCAACAAAGATTACTGAAAGTATTTTACGCAGCTGCAGTACAGTCAAACACAACCCAACCACGGAATTACAAGCTTACAGCTAAACCCATAACAGGTTTGTGTAACTGTCGTTTAGGAAATTGGTCTGTGACCCGACGACTGCTCCCCACCTGGGGAGGGGAGTCGGGAAAATGAAAGGAGACACGTGGGTTGAAATAAAAACAGACGTAATAAAACAACAATAATAAAAATAAACATTAATAACTAATAATTCTTAGTATTTATTAAATATTACTGATTATTAATAACTATTAATATAAAGTACACAGTTATACTCCTGTGGGGGAGCAGGCGTCAGGGGTAGGACAGTAGACAAGTCCCCCTCGAGACGTCAGCCATGGAAGAAGGAAGAGGGAAGAAGAAGACAGACCATCCCAGCAAACTCCCAAATTTACAGTGAATGAGACATTTATGGTATGGATTAACACTAAAGTGGTCATCCTGGGGTCAACTGTCCTGTGTTTCTGCTTCCCCAGCCTCTGCACCTCGTTATCTCAAGACCACTGAGGGCCTTGATCCCCACATAACAGCATTAGCTGAAACCTGTAACACAGTATCTGATCACTTTGTTCCCATAAAACAGAGCATTGCACGCCTTACAGAATCACAGTCTTCCTCACCAAAAATCCGACTCTCAAATTCTGTCTCAGTAAACCAGGACAGTAAACTAGAGCCAAGACATCTCACCTTCTACAACACACTACACATTTGACAGCACTGACACCTCACTGAAATACATTTTTAAACCTTCCGATTACAAGATACCAATACAAATTAAGGGCATTTACTCACACAGGTTACTTTCCGGTAAATTTGAGCAGCATTCTGGCATTCTGAGTAAGGGTATTCTGAGGTAGCCATTTCCAACATGCACATTCCAAAAGCGTAGACATCCACAGATTCATCGTAGTGTTCCTCATACATTTCTGGGGCCATGAATTCTGGTGTACCTACACAGATATGCACAAAAAGAATGTAATTTTTTGATAAAGTCTAAATGCAAATGGCGTTAACCACAATCTTTTTTACTCATCAAAGTGTGTCCATTATAGCTACGTAAGGGTGCATGCAAGATTATTTCAAAAGAGGGAAGGAACTAGAATAAGCTCAAGTATCCTCCTGAGAAGAAACCTAAAGTCAACGCACACACCTACATACCCATGGCTCGCCGGTAGTAATGATACAAGGAGGAAGGAAAAAAAAAGGGGAAAAAGTACCAACACTTCAAAAATGAACAAGAGAATGAGGTGTGGCAATGGCCTGACCATACTGAAAGTCATGGAATGGTTTCTTTTGCTGGGCAGAGAGAAGGATGTGTACAGGTTTGTGGAGGTGAAGAGCAGAGAAGAAACGAGAACCTTCGCTCTTGTTTTTATCAATGCAAATTTGCATCTTTCTTCCACTCCAGAGAGATACATAGCAACCACCCAGCAGACAGACAGCACTGTCAAAGCACGCAGCGTCACAAATCACCTACAAAGTCACGCACAAAACATTAAGCACAATTCTGTCACTGGTTTAGTGGGACAAATCAATGAGGCTACTCACAGAACAAGGTCCTACTCAACAGGGATTAGGGTGTCAGAAATCTGACGCAACTGGAGAAATATTAAGTGAAGCACTGTGTTTACTGCTTTGTAATGAGAAGCTGCAGCTTTATGTAAGTAGCGACTTACGCCACCTGCCACGTTTGCACAGCAAACTGCTCTAAAAAGTGGGGTCTTACAAAGAAAAAGGGGAAAAAAAAGTAACACTGAGGCAATTTATTCCAGGAACTGTATGTCCTACATAACTTATGCTTAGGAGTCAAGACTAATTTATTTCCTTTGCACATTTAGAAAAGATGAAGGAAAAGAGACCAACGCAGTTGTGTGTTGTGGAAGAGAGGCCCAGTGAGCTGTGAGTGCCGGGATGCCCAAAGCGGAGCGAGAGGTCTCAGACTGCATGAAGAACCTGGAGAAGCTCTGCCCATCCACCCCAGCAGCAGCTGCCTCAGCACCCAAACTGCCTTCCCCCTGCTCCCGATCCCACAGCAGCCTGGTGGGCCCATTAGTTCTTTTCTTATGACATTTCTACATCAGCAGTAAAGATACAACTGCAACTGAAGTAACATATACCAGGAAAAAATACTTCTTGTATAGGCTTGGGGATTTGCTGTAAGCTATTTTTTTAATGGCAACATCAATGACATCTCGCAAAATCAAGGTCTGTCAGCAAAAACTCTGCTTTTATACATTTCCTTCAGTAGACTTGGCCTAAATCACTGAGCAAGCCTCATCACAAGCATTTCTGTAAAATTCATTTTGCAATATTTGGGAACGATCTCTCCCATGTTCCTTCCACCTCACAGACACTCATTCCTCCAGCCTTTGCACATCAGCTGGGCCCATGTCATGAAAGCTTGACTTAGTGCCTGCTCTTTGTGTTTTTCTCCCCGCTGTCACACAGCTCTGAAACGGTTAACCACCAGACAGGGAATGTTTTTCGGAGCTGCTACCTTGTTTTAAGAAGGAACAAGACTCAAGAAGCAGGAGTGAATCTCATGAATTATGGAGCATTCAAAGCAAATCTGAAAGAGTGATACTGATAGTCTAAGAAGCAAACGAAATTCTTGACACCATTCCAAAATAGCATGAAAATGACATTTCCCCCCCATCCCTCAGGGATGGGAAAGAATACATACAAGTATACTTATACAAAACAGACCACCTAGATGTAAAGCACTCAGCATCTACTCCACTCCTCTTGGCAGCAGGAGTTTTGCCCTGGCTGTGCTCCCTGCAGAGATACACCGCAAGGTCAGCCCAGCATCAGCGATGCCATGAGCACAGCAAGAGAAAAACTGGACCTCGGCCATGCTGACTTCATCCGTTCAGACTGGTGCAAAATTCCAGCTACTAATATTCCTTTAAAGCTACTACATCTACGGAGGGGGCAGAATTACTCATCTCACCAGGGTTTCCAAGCCCTCCTAATTCTCTCCTTGGAGCAGCACTACTGATGAGAAAGCTGAGCTCAGTTACATTGCCAAAATGAACACAGACACCTTTGCCAGCAACCTGCAGCTCTGTTCAGTACTGGGTTTCTTTTAGACACGAGTCTGCTTTGATGGTGGTGTGGTAACAACTGGTTTCACAAAAACTTGTATTAGTATTACTGATATTTTCCCCAGTATTGGTATTACTGATATTGTTCCATTATGTCCCACAGACAATTGTTATTCTGCAAAAAAATTATGTGAAGAAATACTGACCCGCAACAGAAAAACCGCACCAGTTTACCAGAAGTTAACAGATGGAAACAAACACGATTACACTAAAATCAAAAGGTGAAGCAGACCCACAGTGGCCCAGCACATACTCAACATTTCTATCATTTTTTAATTCAATGATATTGGGCTCCCTAAGCATTAAGGTCGATACTTTTGTACAAATAATTACAGAGTCATAATATCTGAAAATTAGAGATGCTAAAGCAATTATTTAAGCAACTACTGCTTGAAAGATCGGATGCTATTTACATATATAGTAAGGGAACAGTGGCTGCCACTGTCTAGGTAAATAGAATTATCAAACTGAATCTAATTTCCATTTGTATTATAAGCTGAAATACCACTACGTGCAAGATAACTTCTCCCACTTTCAGCATCTTTTCTCAGGAACTTGCAGCTCCCTAGAACCATCACCTACAGATCTGAATCAAGGAGATTTGTTAGGGAAGCTTGGGTAAAAAACACAGAATCTTTGAGAAATCAGGAAACCATTACATCTACACAAAAACCATTAAATGTAACTTTTCCAAGGAAACAATGTCCTCTGACAGCCAGTCAGAAGGCGTCCTCTCAGTTCAAGCAAACCCAAGTTCTCACACTCCTCACACAGGCATCATTTAAAGGCATCAGCTATTGCATATTCTAGTGGAAACACCTTTTATTTTGTGCCTACTGATTTTCAATACAATGCAGATGTCGTTTCCGCAGAACTCTGCCAGGACTGGGTCGAGGCAGGACCCAGCTCTGCAGAAGCAGCGTGTTCTGCTGATGCCCCAGTGCACAGGGAAGAGATGCTCCAGCCAGACCAGCTCCTCTGCCACCTCTTTGCAAAGGAGAGAAGTCTGGCTCCGCAGGGCACCATCCCCTCTCCCATCAGCAAAAGTAACCAGCCCTGTCCCAGCATCTCTGGAAGCAGAGGGCTTCCCGGGGGTGCTGCCAGGCTTCTGCAGCTCTCCCTTGTCAAGGAGACAGTAGGGCATCCTTTCTCTGCCCTCTCCTCTCCCCGAGCAGGCACTGAGCCTGTTCTCAGGAGGATGATGCACATAAGCTGCTGAGAACCCTTGCTGCTCCTTTTGGAGGAGAGAAAAGGATTCCTGGATACTAAGTAACAGCTCAGTTGAAAACCAACCAAACAGAAGTGTTTTACCATTGTGACAGAGAAGGAAGAAGTTGTCATTTCCTACTTGCAATGTACTACTTGATTGAGATTTTTCACAGTGGTATAAAAGGGAACAGTCACTAAACCACTTTAATCTCTACCACCAACCTACAAATGAAAAAAACACTAATGCAAGACATGAAAGAAAGATATTAAGACAACCAACAGAAGGAAGTCAAGGAGAACAAGAGGATTACCTATTACACTTTTGGCAAACGAAGCTCTCTTGAGGGTTGCCAGCCCCAAGTCTCCTATTTTCACAGATCCAGTTGGTCCAGTAATAAAAATATTGTCACATTTTAAGTCTCTGTGGATTATTGGTGGAGTTCTTGTGTGCAAGAAAAGAAGACCCTTTAGGATTTGCCGGCACCAGCTACGCAGGACTTTTGGTTTCATCACTTTAAATCTCTTCAGATACCTAGAGCACAAATACAGACAGAAGCGGGTATAAAAAAATGAAGCATTATTAGAGATTCTAGGGACTTTAACAGCTGAAACTCCATTCTGGATAAAAGCCCTTTATTAGATGCCATAATAGCAGCACAGAAATATCATGAATTGAAAGAAATAGATCTTTTCAAAGGAGGAATTAGAGCATTCATTTTTAGGAAGATAATAAGCATTTTTGGTACAAATACAACCAAATATTTGCAAGTCTAGCAGTACAGAATTCACTTTGTGCAGAGAAGAGCTTTAGAACATTTTTTCATATATTCAAATCAGAATAATATTGAAGTTTAATTTTAACTACAAGACTTTGACCTCTGCACCACGCACCTGCATTTTTTTTTCCATTTACCTAAAACACTGACTGGGAGGGTACGTTTTGGACAGATTTAAAACCTGCTAATGCACTGGCAGAGTAGCACACACTGGATATATGCAGTGATGAGTACTGCTCCCATTGGGGCTGAAAATCTGTTCCCGAATTCATGCCAACTGTTTTATATCAACCTTAACAAGACTGTCGGTACCAAAAGCTATCAATTAATATTGTTTTGTAGATAACCTAGAGCACTTTCTGCTTCCAAAAGAGATTCTACCATTCAAGTACTATTCTAGCTGAATTTTCTAACAAAACATGCAAATAGAAGCACAAAAGCAATCACAAAAACACGCCCTGACAAATTAAAACGTCACAGGCAGAAGATGAAGCACACCAGAGAGCTGCTTCAAGTTGCATAACTGAAACAGGAGAGCAGGGAAAGGGAGATGGAGGCCAAAATTCCTCCTGTCAAATCAAAGCAGTTCAAATGCAGGGACAAATGACAGACACCAGAGAACAGCTCCATTTTTTTTTCTTTTATCTGGAGGTGCTTTTTTTCAGAATACGAAAGTAGGATTTTTCTAAAAATTTCCATCGCTATTCTTAGTCTCCTCACCAGGAGCGCAGTACTTACGTCTTTAGTGTTCCAGAGGTCATCAATTCGGTAACCAGCACGATGCATCTTTTGCCTTTTACACAGGATTCCCAGAAGTCGTAAAATCTCACAATGTTTGGATGCTGTAGACCTTTCAACATTTCTGCTTCCTCTTTAAATCTCTGCCTCTCTACTTTTGTGAGTTTTCTGTCCTATAATCCAAAATAAGACATTATTAGAAGCGAATGGATAAAAATAAAATAACAGCATTGCATTGCTGGGGTATTCAGCATTCTACAGGGTTTTTTTTATGCTTGTATCAAGAGCAATTATAAAATCTTTTACGTAAGAGATGAGCGGCATGTATGAACTAGGACACTCGCCTTAAACCCAGCGTCAAGAAGACAAAGACTCGCCTCCGAACAAAGAGACGCCTGTGTTACGCTGTCCTACATGGCAGCATTAATATTTCAGGCAACAAACACACCCATGGCTTGATGGATCACCACACAGCTCTTTACTTCTCAGTTTGGTTTTGTGAGGCTCATTTATCTGTGGTATTAACACATGCAGGATTTTCTTTCCAGGCCCGAATGTCCTCATGGCTGCACTGCTGCTGGCCCTCACAGCTAGGCCTGCTTCCCACCTTCCCTCATGGCTCCTGAGAAGCCAGGGCAGTGACAACCACATGAGGTCCCTCAGGAACCACAGTGGGCTGCACCGTCCTCCCCTCTTCTCTAGAGACAAATTAAAACAATATCCTCCTCCAAAAAAACCAAACATTTTTTCCATTTATTTGCTGTTCTGCCTAATTTTACAGACTTTAAAGCTGATAAAGGAAGGATTTAAACCTATTCTTCAGTCTTTTCTGCATGGACCACATAGAAAACACTTGTTCTTAGAGATCAGAAATGTTCTACTACTCTGGTTTTCCTAGAGAAATTTCAGAGCATTCACCATGGCCTCCAGGCTGTGAGGGGGCCCTGCAAGGAGCACACAGAGCCCATTGCCTCCTTCCCACGGGTCCCCAGAAGCCTCCTGGGCCTCACTGGCAACATGGAGACGAGCACACCAAGCAGCTCAGAGACAGTCTAGCCTCTTTAGATGGTGTAAAAGAGCAAAATGGGAGCTTCCCCAAAGACCGCACTGTTTTCTCTCCTCTGGATGGCTGGTTGGGCTGGGAGTACTTCCCTCCACTGCCCTAGAAATGAAGCTTTTTTGTTCTTTAAAAGGCACAATTGTGTAACTGTTCTTACTTACAGGAGCAAAGGCTCACAAATCACTAAGATTAATTAGTTCATATTTTAACCTCGGACATTTTCTTTTCCTCAGTTCACTTAGGCATGTTTATAAGAGCATATACTTAGTGAATTAAATTGGCACCCAGCTGATTCGTAACCACAATGCAGAGGGATCAAGCCACTGCCATTTTGATAGCTTGCCCTCAACTGAGACTGCAATGAACTCAATCCTGGAATGGGAACTGACAAATAAGTCAGCTTTATGCAGAGATTTCACAACAGGAAAACCCACACTGAAATGATGATGCTTTGGCTCCTCTCAAAGACAGAAAACCCGCTTCCCCAACAACATGTGTGCGCAGGTGGAGCATTGCTGAGGAGTTTTCTTTAAGATTTACAAAGCAGCAGCAGAGCTAACGTTCCCCCAAGCAACAGCAGCCCCCGGGGCTGGGACAGCAGGGTGCCCTGTGGGGACCCATGCCCGCATTCCCTGGGGCAGCAGGAGCATCCCGCACCCAGTGTCACTGCTGGAGACAGGCGGGCAGCAGCACACTGAACGCCACAGCTGAGAGCAAGGCAACATTGCTGCTGCTCTGTAGCAACTGCTGTTTTTCTGTTAGGAAAAAAAAAATTTTTAAAAAAAAGGAAGCTGTCTAATGAGGCAGGACAGAAGAGCCTGAGAATTGCTTTCAAATCCATCACTTCTTCCCCTACTGCTGAGTTTCCTCTTAATTTAAACCCTGTAGAATAAATCAGACACACTGCTTGCTATTAAGGAGGAAAAGGAGCAAGTCCTTGTGTGAGACAGGAAAAGCAGAGTGTGGGCTAGCAGAGAAAGGAAAAGACGGCAACACAGATCCAGCAGTTTTTTAAAAGCTTACTAATTAAAAAACAAAAACAAAACCAAAGAAAACAACAAAACCAACAACATAGTCCTTGACTCTCATTTCCAGATTTCTGAGCACTGTGAGAAATTTTCCACTGCCACTCTAGGGGTAACTTTAAAAAATATCCTTCAGTCATTACAGTCATATTCTGTATAATCCACATATTATGAGCGCCAGGTCATCTGGGTTGCTGTCTGAATTCAAAGGACTAAGATGGCAACATGGGTGTTAGGCAGTTGTTGTGTCACCCAGCGACTCCTCCCCACACGGGTGGTGGAATTGGGAAACAGAAAGAACATCTGTGGGTTGAAATGGAAACAGATTTAATAAAATAATAATTATACTAATATAAAGTACACAAAGTTATATGCAGCCCATGTAGCTGTCACAAGCTGTGCACTCCCAGCAATGTCAAACACTGCAAGCACCACAGCTCCAGTGAGGGCGTGATGGTCACAGCATACAGGGAAGCAGACCTAGGCAATAGAACGATGGGTGAAACCCTCTGGGGAATGCCACCATCAAGGAAAGAGGGCCATCCCCAGCAACTCCCCAGTTTATAGCGAGCATGACATTTGTGGTACAGATACTTCTGTTGGCCAGCTTGGGTCAGCTGCCCTGGCTTTCGCTCCCCCCAGCTTCTGCACCTGGACCACTTGAAACTGCTAAAAACCTTGATCACTCTGGGAGCCTGCATACCAGGGCTGGCCAAAACTAAAACAAAGTGTCTTATCAACTTTGCTCCCATTAAATTGAGTGCTGCGGTCAAACATGCAGCTTTCCTGACTAGAAAACTGATTCTATGATTCTGTCCCAGCAAAACCAGGACAGTGGGCAACTGCAATGAAGTGATTCTGGAAGACAAATATGTGTTTAATCGAATCACAGAATGTGTTGGGTTGGAAGGGACCTTTAAAGCTCATCCAGTCCAACCCTGCAGCGAGCAGGGACAAAGTTACCAGATCAGGTTGCTCAGAGCCCCATCAAACCTGACTTTAAACATTTTCATGGATGGGGCCTCCACTACCACTCTGGGCAACCTGTGCCAGTGATCTATCACCCTCATAGTGAAGAACTCTTTTCCTAATATCCAACCTAAATCTACGCTATCTACCCCTTTCTATTTTAAAGCCATTACCCCTCATCCTATTGCTACATGCCCTAGTGAACAACTCTTCCCCAGATTTCTTATAGGCACCTTTCAGGTAATGGAAAGTCGCAATAAGGTCCCTCTGGAGCCTTCTCTTCTTGAGGCTGAATAACCCCAACTCAGCCTATCATCATAGGAGAGGTGCTCCATCACTTCAATGTCCTTTTTGTGCTGGGGACTCTAAAGCTGGATGCAGTATTATTATTAAGTACAGTGGAAAGAATCTGCATTTAAAATATTTTTTTTCATCAGAATGACTACTGAACATCTTTCTCAGGAGAAAGCCCTGTGTCCAGTACTAACACTTGAGAGGAGAGGTATGGGCAGGGAAGATGTACAGGCAGGGCTTTGGGCAGAGCAGCCACCCTCGCAGGCTGCGTTCCCTGCCACGGGAGGGGTGTCCAGCACCATAAGGGCTCAACCAACCTTTTCTAAATTCCTCCAGGATGAACCTGACATGAGTCATTGGCCAAAGCATAAGCTGTTCCTGAAAGGGCTTAACTGTTGAACTGTTTTCAGTTCAAAGCAAAAAGTTCAAGCAGCAAAAACACCAATTTAACTTAGTAACTCACTCAGGGTTTATTACAAACCTAAAAAACTTTCACTGGGCTCACAGAACCTTAATCTCCATCATATAATCCACACCAGGCCAAATGTCCTTATGCTGAAGGTAAGGGTGTAAGCCTGAAACAACCTTAGAACATCCAATTTTAAGATGGGAAACAGGATCCTTTGGAAAGGTCATGTCAAAGAAAGCTAATCCACTTAACTGGATTTAAGGCATCACATTGCATAAGCCAAATTTATCAGCATTTGGGGGAACGAAGCAAGTTTCCGGATTCACCCATCAACCATCACGTTATCTGCAGCAGCAGCAGTTTACAACACCGCACAGCTGACCAAGGAGGCCCAGGGATACTGAGCCACATGCAATGGCCCTGCTCCTCCATAGCTTCACAAGCACAACAGCGGCATCACGCCGAGCTGACAAACAAGCTCGTTGCTCAGTTTGCTCCACTGCATTTATGGCTCTGCTGCAACTCTGAGCTGCCTTGAGATTGGAGACTTAGGAAATGTTCTTCTCAATGTGATCCCAGAGATATCACTATTAGCTTGCAGATATCTACACGCTTCGTCTCCTTTTAAGGTATTCACACTTCTTGGCCCTTTCCCTCCTTGCTGGGTCTTGGCTCAGGAGGAGACACTGTAACTCCATTTCAAATAATTGAAAGCTTCTCAAGCCTACTACTTAACACTGAGGTTTCTAAAATAAACTTCAGGCTTCAAAAGCCCACAGCAATTGTGCTGAGCCGGTTCAACTTTTCCAAAGCAACTGAAGTTAAACAGAACCAAGAAAGAAGCAAGACAGCTGCTCAAATTGTGTTACTGCTAAGAAAGAATCCATAAATTTAACTTATTTTTTCATCTTAACAAACTGTGAAGAACAGTCAGCTTAAAAGGCTTCAGCACAGGCTTTGTTGGCAGCACAGCCACAATCAGAGCACTCAAGGGAGCGGACACATGAACACGGAGCCTTCTCAGAGCTTCAGGTGCATCCGCTTTGCAAATACACACGCAGTGCAAACTCATCAGCTGTTATTTCACTGCAATGCCATAGTAAGAATCATGCCCAGCAGCAACAAATCACACAAAACACAAGAGCAGAGAGGAGACTCCATCTACCACCACACAGACTGGTCTGCAAAAGGCATCCTTTGGCTGCCTTATGGCTCCATAATTTCACCTTTCATAGAGATAAGTAAGCACTAACTGGAGTGGGGTTATACAGGGTAAATTTCACCATGAAAGGCAAACAAACAGAGACACTCAACAAGTGGTAAGAGAGGTTATAAATTGAAAGCTCCCTTTGCTTCATTAATTTTCCCAGCTTTCCTGTTGCGAATCAGATTATAACTGCATGGTCAGTTTTAAGC